CTAAAATTTAGAGACCTCTTATTCGAATATCACTGTTCTCTAAGTCTGGAACTTGTTTTTGTTTCGGACGAATGTTAAGTTGAATGAAGTAAAAAAATAAATCAATAATCAATCAGCTTCCAAGTCTCATATTTGGAGTTTCCTTTAACCGTAAGAAATTCATGACAAAAAGGTTGAATTTTTTTCCATATCATAACATAATACCTTTTCAATTAAAAATGATTTACTTGGGTCTGAATACCGCAGCAGAGTTTTAAATTGTATTATTAGAGTAAATGAAGGTACTGTTAGGTACGCAGAGCATCCAAGAGAATTACTCAGTATAAGTACACGATGGTTGACAATCAATGCAGGAATTATCCTCATTAGGTCGATCCACAGTCGATTGGTACGCTTTGCTCCAAGCGGAATCGCACGTCTGGACCGATCTTAGGGAGAAACTCTGGGAGTATAGGTACGTCGTACTTGACTCGACGCGCGCAAGGTAAGGAGGAAGAATGATAAACGAATTGATGTGGACAAGTGCAAGCAAGAAAGAGAGACGGGAGCAAGATCAGACAGCAGTTTAACAAAGATGAAACGACAAAACGTTTAAATAAAACTAAATAAATAATAAAAATGAAAAAAGGAGATGATGCATCAGCGAGCTATTAGATCGAAAGCTGGTTACGTATATTGCCTAAAGAAAAACTGGAAATCCACGCGCTCTTGACGAGCCAGAAGAATCTCTGAGGCAGATAAAAGACAGAAAGAGACAAACGAATTACTTTATACTTGGATGTATAGTAAAGTATAAGAATCAACACACTAAAATTCTATCTTCCTTTACTTCTATATATACTATTCAAGTCTCTCCTGGCAAAAAGGAGTCGCAGACTTGGAGTGACAACTTAGCGAGCCGGAGCTCACCTCGCCTGTCCATTCGCTTCAGGCCACACACAGACTGCACTACGTACACGTTTTTGACTGAATATCTCTTTAATTCAATTTTTTTGCCCCACAAATGCTGCATTCTACATTTATTACTTTCATATAAGTATTCCACGTACTCCCACCCGCGCAATCTCTAATAAATAAATTATAATTTATCTTTAATAATATTTTTAATTTTTCTAGACAGTAAACATAGAATTGGATAGATAAATAAATGTCTGAAAAATTCGGGATTATATGTAAGACCTTTATAATGCATGTCTAGATACTTAGTGACTGATTGTGAGTATTTTTTTTATTTTATTTATTAATACCAGGATACAAAAATAGTATATACAATACAAAAGTATGCACCGATAGAGGTGTAACAAAAAACACCTGTACATAGACCTGGAAAAGCAAAAATATCAATACTTAATACTAAAAGCACAAGTATCATTTTAAAGTGAAAATACAAAAGAGCAATATATGAAACAAAAAAATGTAAAACAAAAAATGGAAAAACATGATTTAGAGATCAATTGATGCTATCCACTTAACTATTTCTTTTTTATTAAGCTTATTTTTTTTATATTTAAAGACTTTAATGTCTGTGGTAGTATGTTAGTGTAACATTTTTTAAATATACTTGTCATATACACGGGCGTTCAGAAATATGTACTGAAAAAAAAATTAACTTGCCTGTCTAAAAAAAAAATCGTCTTAAATGTGTCTTAAAAGAAAATTTTCAAAGATTATTTTGAGATGAGCTCATAGTGACAGAGCCCCGGAATATTAAAACGGAGCGTCTTAAAAAAGTCTAAAAATTGTCGGATAATTTTTCAACAATTTTAAAGAAGCGTACGTGAAAATTTTGCGGTTAAAAACTCGCAAAATCGTCTAAAAAATGTCTAAAAATTAATTTTCATAACAAATTTGAGAACCAAATTTCAAAAATCTGCTCTCGGAATTTTTTTAAGCGTTTTTAATTAATTTAATTTTTCAAATTAATGCGACTTCTAATTTTTAATGAGATACTTTTAAGTCCAAAAAATTATGTCACCATCTTAGTCGACTTTTGGCCTTTGAACATTTAGAGTGAAAATTGTAGATCAAAAATAGTATAAGATTTCATATTGAATTTGAAAACAATATATAAAGTCCATCTACAAATTAACTAGACTAAAAACCGATCAAACTTTTAAAACTTTTTAGTTTCATTAGATTAGAAACAGCATAAAATATTCATAGTTGCTCAATTATTTTACTAAAAGGTTATTTAGACTTAAAACAGATCAAAAATAATTTTAATAGTAGATCAAATACCGATAAAAATGTTTTTTAAAGTTCAAATACAGATCAATAAGTTCAAATGCAGATCATTTAGCTTAAAATCAGTTTAAATTTTTCGACTCGGGACGTCTTAAGAGAGTCTTGGTTTGTGTCACGTTTAAGATCTTAAACAAACGACATTTTTAAGACACTTGTAAGAAAATTTTTTTTACACGGATGAATCAAGAGAAAAATTTTTGAACCCAGAAAATAATTTTTAAGAGCTTAATTGCCTTGAATTGAGAAAAATTTTTTAGTTTAATTAAGAATAAATTCTTCAAAATTATTTCCTTAATTTAATTTAATTTTTTTATTATAAATTGAATTTAATTTAAATCAAAGTATTGTTTAGGAAATTTTGTAAAAAATATTTTTATTTAAAACATGAGTAAGATAGTAAATTATTTTTAAATAACATATTTTTGTGATGTGCGTATTTTTTATTTGATTAAAATAAAAAAATTTGTCACTGCTATCTGAACTTTTTATAAAAATACTGAATTTCTTTTTTTTTAGATATTATTTTTGAACTGAAAAATTCTAGAAAAAAATAATTGACAATTTTTAATTCAGAACTACTTTTATTGATTATTTAAAATTTTTAAATAATCAAACACTTGAAAAAACTTTATTTAAAAAATTTGAATGTGACTTAAATTAATGTTTCAATTTTTGAAGAATTATATAAATTATTTAGTTTTTATAAATATATATATTACAATATCTGTGATAATGATGGTTACAACTGTGTAAGATTTTATCACTCGATAATGTCAAAAGACTTCTTCCGGTATATCGGCCGACACGTGTGTCGTATAAAAATTATATTGAAACGCCCTCTGACAAATATTGCTCGTTGATGTAGTACTGGAATATATCAGCACCTAAGTCGTGCTGTATGCTACACAAACATATAAATAGTGTCAATATACAAATTCGACGTCTAAACGGCAGGCGTTTCTGTGTTTTGTCAAGCGACTATACAAAAAGTTTATTCGCAAAAAGTTTTAAATTTAAATAGCTAAAAAATGTTAAAGTGATTCTGAAGAGACGTAAAAATAATTTAAAATTTATCCAATACATATTATTGTATGCATGATCGATTAATCTCAAAATTTATATAAAATTTTAAGGTTTTAAAAATTGTAAATAAAATAAAAATCATAATATTGTAAGCTTAAAAAATTAAAGAATTTTTTCTTATGATTGCATTTGAAAAAAAAAAAAAGCTTATAAATTTTGTATTAGACCACGAGCTTTTATTTAGCGGGATGTCACCAGTGATCGGTTTTATCCGATCGGGTTCGTTTCAACATTCACTTAACTATTGGATTTTATGGTCACTGTAAATACGTCTCGGTTGCGACATGAGTTTCAACTTGAGATAACAGCTACTGGTCTAGCAACGGACTGCAACTCTACGTTTTGTAAGCAAATAACTTGTGAATTATATTTAGGGCATTCCATGCCAAATCGACCACTTTTGACACCGACCCTTTTCGATTTTTCTGAAATTTTGGTATCTTTCTCTACCCTATTGAAAACAATTTTCAGAATTTTTTCAAATTTTTTTACCTAACCAAAAAAAAGTTACGAGTTATTACAAAAAAACAGCTTTTTTTTTGTGAAATAACCATAACTTTTTTGAAAATTGACTTCTTGGGATGTTTTTTTTTTTGAAATTTTTGTCTTTAAATGTACTTAAAAAAAAAATAAAAATAATAATTCGGGTTCATATTCAATGTTTTTTTTTAACTTTTTGGAAAAAAACGAAAATTTCGGCATGATTGACATTTTTGATTTTCGATTTTTCTTTTTTATAAAAAACTTCAGTATTTTTTGCAAATTCCCTGAAATTTTCAGAGTGGTAAAATTTTTCTTTCTATTTTTTTTTTCAGAGTGGTATAACGAAAAACAAACATTTCAAGGGCGCGCATTACACAGTCCCAGTTAGCAGAGTTAAAAGCATTTTTGATGTCTAATGCAGCCACCAAACAATACTTTTTTGTGCCGCGATTCCATCTCTTTCCAGCAATCGCATCCTTAGCTGTGTTGACGACCAGGTTGATTGCATTCAGGGTTGACCGTCCGGTTACATGTCGATTCAACCCCTGAAAATTCGTTCCCGGAAATTTGAACCTGGTCATTTGAACCTCTAAAATTGAACCGCTGGTCATTTCAACCCCCGGTTATTTGACCCTCTGGAATTGATCCTTTGGTTATTTCAACCCGGTCACTTCACCCTCCAAAATTGACCCGTCGGTCATTTTAACCCCCGGTCTTTTGACCCCTGGAAATTCATTATTAAAAAATAGAAAATATATTCATATCAGTGGGGGGCTTCGCCCCCCAACCCCCACCAGGGCTACGCCCCTGACCCCAACTATTTTAACAATATTTGTGTGTATTTTTACTCAGAAATATTGAAACAAACGCCCGTAACCTTGTTGTGCACTTTTGACAAGATTAACTAATTACAATACTTAACTAATTACAATACTTTATTGGCGTGAGTGAGCTTCGAATATGAATGAAGAAAAGACAACATGGAAAAATGGGAAAAGAAAAACTATGGGGTGAGTCATTCATTAGTCAGCAAATGATGACTCATGGTAAAACTCAATAATATAATGACTCATTAGTAATGAGTTTATAAGGGTCAAATGACCGGGGGGTAAAATAACCAAGGTTGATTTTCGAGGTTCAAATGACCGGGGTTAAAATTCACAGGGTTGAATCGCTCGGCGACCTAAAATATGTGTGATAGTGATAACTCAGAAGATCAAAATGATCAACCTTGTGCAAAGAAAGTGAAACTACACTATGGCATACTACCAAGTCATCAGTAAGTAGATCGTATTTTTCAAGTGTCCATAAATGTAATTATTATATTTTTATGTTTAATTAATTATATTCATATTAATCATATAAGTAATTATATAAATTATATTAAAGATTAATAATTATATAAATTTTATTAATATTATCTTCAATTAATTATTTTCTTATTATTCATGAAGGAATTAATATGGAAAAATTTATTAATAAAATTTATATTTGCAAATCTTTAGTTATATATTGCAATAATTAACTAAGATTTGAGTTTATGAGTATATTGAAGCCACACTCAAAATTTTTTTTCTTTTTCTTGTGTATTTTAATATCAGATTTTTTAAAATATTTCAGTTCCCAACAATCATCACAGGGATCACAAAATATTATTATTGAAACTGGACGCTACCCTGATCAGTTAAACACAAGGCATACTATCAATGTTTTGTGTAAGACTTTATTAATCGAATAGTACCAGACTATTTTAATTTTTATCTTAGATTTTATTAACATATTTATATTTTTTTTCAGAGTAAACAATAGTAAAAGAAAAAGTCAAAAACAATACAGGGAGCGGAACAGAGAAAAATTGAAACATCGTGAAGCAGAAAGAAGAAAGCGTATAAAATCTTCACAAAGTATTATCGGACCGTCTACCTCTTCAAACTCAAATATAATGGAAGTAAATAATGAAAAACCAGTAATTGCTATTTCATCTACTCTTCAAAATAAAAGAGACCGTCAATAAAGATACAGGGAAAAGAACAGAGAAAAATTGAGTAAGCGTGAAGCGGAAAGAAGGAGACGTCTACAGAATGCAGAAAGTATTATAGAATTACATACTTCTCCAAATATAGAAAATAGAGAAATAATTATAGAACCACTAATCATAATAGATGAAGTAAGTACAAATTCTCGAAATTTAACTGGTTTGGGAGAAATGGAGCATAAAGTGTTTGACATATCTCAGCAAAATTTAAGTAACCTATCAAGCGCAAATATTGCGGAAATTCCGAATAACTACCAGTCAATTTAGATACCATAAAACAGCTCATGAATATTTCATCGATAACTTTAAAAATAATGAATTTGGAAATGCTTGTGAAGTGAATTAATTATGATTGTAGTATACATTTCACCTAATAACAAAATGGATCATATAATTTCATTTTTACATGAAAGGTTATTTCCTTATAGTCAAAGAGGTTCCATCCAATACTTTTGTAACGTACTTTCGTTATCATCGACCAATCGTCACAGTAATACCGGCAGAGGAAACATCGAATATAACTATTACTGAAGTCACAGATGAAAATATTTAAATTGTGGCCACTTGATATTAATATCGAATTTTTATATCACATGTAAATAAATGTTTATTAAATAAAGTTATCATTTTCTGTAAGAAATTCGTAATACTTAATTTTTTCATTAGGCTATATTTAATTTCTGTGATAATATTATCTTTTATGCATATTACTTGTACACACACGATGTTTCACATCTGCCAGGTGTCCCATGACGGCTCACTTTTTTTTTTTGATTTTCGATTTTTCTTTTTTATAAAAAATTTCAGTATTTTTTGCAAATTCCCTGAAATTTTCAGAGTGGTCAAATTTTTCTTTCTATTTTTTTTTTAATGAAAAAAAAATTTTTTTTTAAATGTTTGTTTTTCGTTATACCACTCTGAAAAAAAATAGAAAGAAAAAGTTTACCACTCTGAAAATTTTAGGGAATTTGCAAAAAATACTGAAGTTTTTTATAAAAAGAAAAATCGAAAATCAAAAATGTCAATCATTCCGAAGTTTTCGTTTTTTTCCAAAAAGTTAAAAAAAACATTGAATATGAATCTGAATTATTATTTTTATTTTTTTTTTTTAAAGTACATTTAAAGACAAAAATTTCAAAAAGAAAAAAAATTCCAAAAAGTCAATTTTCAAAAAAGTTATGGTTATTTAACAAAAAAAAAGCTGTTTTTTTGTAATAACTCGTAACTTTTTTTTGGTTGGGTAAAAAAATTTGAAAAAATTCTGAAAATTGTTTTCAATAGGGTAGAGAAAGATACCAAAATTTCAGAAAAATCGAAAAGGGTCGGTGTCAAAAGTGGTCGATTTGGCATGGAATGCCCCATTTATTTATAAAAATTTATAAATTTTAAATTTTATTTGAATTTTTTTTTCATATTTTTTAGTTTTTTTATTCATTTGTTATTTTGAGATTATTAATTGTTATATTAATAATAATTTGATAAATTTTCATCATTAAATGCATTAAAGATTACTTATGCAAGTCAAAAAGTGATATTTAAAGATTTTTTATTACGATTTAATACTTTTTTTTTTACGAACTATGCTCTGCAATAAAAAAAAAAAATGTTAGAACAATTTAATAATACTGTGAAATCAATTGGAATAGAGATTGATAGCAAAAAATATGGATCACTTTTGCCAAAATACTAGTATAGTCGACTTATCCATCCCCACCCTCGGTCCTGGATAGAAGCAACGGGCAGTAATGACATCTGGCAGCGATATGAGACAGACGGCGAATAGCCGGCGGCCAACTTAAGTTGAGTAGTGAAGAAAGGGAGATTTAAACGTAAACTATACCTTAAGTTCATTATATACGTTTAAATAAAGTTAATTTAACAACAATTTCACTGTGAATTAGTAAAAGTTAGGGTTGATAAACTGGATAGGAAATATTACATCCTACACTATGTAATTCTTACGTTTCTTTTTTTAAGAATCGATCACTAATAAGACAAACTAGGAAATAAGTTTTAAAAACTCAAAATATAAAAAGTAAATTTCAAGCGTATCAATTTTTACAGAATAAAACTGTTATATTTGTTACACCTGTAAAATAATGTAATTTTTACAGTTTTGAAGCAAATAAGAGAAAGTTTTGTCGACCTAAAAATTTAATAGAAAAAATTGTGATGAAAAAATTCATTTTCTGTTATCGTGTTAAACAAAAAATTATTAGGTGATTGAAAGGTTGTTACGGACGATGTTTCAGATAGCTTAAATGGAAGAGCCCTTGGTGCGTATCCAAAAGATCCGGGTTCGATTCCCGGTCCGGGCTGTCCGAATTATTCTTTCTGTTTTCTGATAACCTAAGATATGTTGCGGTAACAAATGAATTTGTTAACATATAACAAATTATAAGTTAAAGTAGCAAAATTTAGGTTATATCAAGTTATTGATATGTTATAACAACAAAACAGTTTCGTTACTATAGCAAAATCTTTAAGTTGATTCGGCAAAATACTTTAGTTGGTATAACAAATTTTTTTGTTGATACAGCAAAATTACTCTATTAAAATGACAAAGTGAATTTGTTGGAGTAACTAAGACAATTTGTTAAAGTAATAAAGAGAATACATAATTTTAAAATATACTATAATCAGCTATAGCTGATTTGGAAAATATTTTGGCAATAAATTAGTTTTGTTATTGCAACAAAATGATTTTGTTAGAGCAAAAAATTGATTTTATGAATTAGCAAATTGGTTTGTTAGTACAACTTGAAACATTTTGTTAACGCAACTGATGGATTTGTTGCTGTAACTACACTCATTTGTTACCAGAACAAATTTTTCAGTTATCCCGTCTTTTGTTATTTCAACAAAATAGTTTTATGCGTGTAGTATATGTTGCGCGCGCAAGCGCGCGTCTGCATATATTAATATGAAATTATATGTATTTTCATGCTTATGAGATATATTTGACCAATCACGTTACGAATAGTTTATTTCCTTGTGGATATTTTCATATTTTTCATCTAAATTATACTTGTGGATGTTGAAAATAAGGTTCCGCGCGATTTTCGTTTCACGACCGCGCCGATGTCAAAATACGATATAGCAGTTGCGCAGAACCCTATTTTCAAAATTAAATAAAAATTACACTGATAAAAAAATTAACTTTACTCAAGAGCCTAAATCTTGAACCAAGAATACCATTTTGAAGAAAATGATTTTTTTAAGTCAAGAGAATAAATTCTTGAGACAAGAAAAATTTACTTAAATCAAGAATAATTTCTTGATTCAAGAATTTATTATCTTGACTCAAAAAAATCATTTTCTTAAAAATGGTATTCTTGGTTTAAGATTTTGGCTTTTTGGCTAAAATTAAATAAAAATTACACTGATAAAAAAATTAACTTTACTCAAGAGCCTAAATCTTGAACCAAGAATACCATTTTGAAGAAAATGATTTTTTTAAGTCAAGAGAATAAATTCTTGAGACAAGAAAAATTTACTTAAATCAAGAATAATTTCTTGATTCAAGAATTTATTATCTTGACTCAAAAAAATCATTTTCTTAAAAATGGTATTCTTGGTTTAAGATTTTGGCTTTTGGCTTTTGAGTCAAGTTAATTTTTTTATCAGTGTATTGTTTTGGAAGCTAGAGATCCGGGAGTCGAGGCTTTTTTTCAGAAATTTCTTCCTCTTTAAATATCTTATTTCCGATTTTGATATCACCTATACACAGAAAGAACAAAAGTCTTGAGTCAAGCGTAAATTTTCTTAAATCAAGAAAATCTTAAGGAAGAATGAAAATTTCTTGAATGGAGTTGAAATTTCTTAAACGAAGTTAAATTTTTTTAAGCCAAGGAAATTTCTTCTTGCTCCAAAATAACTTCGGCCTTCCTTATAATTTTCTTGGTTCAAAAAATTTTTTTTTGTGTAGTTATTCAGTTATTGACGACAAACTAAGATTTTTTGTTTTGTTTCTGTTTTTTGTTAATAACAAATTAAAATTTTTATCAAAAATACAAAAAAAACATTATTTTCAGAATTTAATTTCGCATCGAATGAGTGATTGTTCATATTTTTATCACAATTTCTAAGATTTTTATCAGCAATTTTACACAAAATTCTCACAAAAAATTTCCGTTACTATAATGGAACCATTCTACACAAGAATAAGATCAATTCTTTTCTCTCCATGTACATATATAATCCTCCTCTTTATCAGTAAATATAAAAAAAATTTTTCTTCTTAATAATTTCTTGATGTAATTTATAAAATTTCTAAAACTCTTGTTTTCATTTATTATCCTATTAATAATTAATGAAATAGACGTAGTCGTACACACATGATTCGCTAAACGGTATTTTATGTTCTAGCGTATTACATTTATTTAATATTATTTACGGCGGGTTTTACGACGTCAATGATACGTATACGAAGTCTATCCAATATCAAATATAACGTCGTAACCTGGAAAAGCGCGGAGGGTGGCAGAAGCAATAAATGTACGGCAAACGGCGCTTTTCTCGATAGAGGCCCTTATACAGCAGTACCAGTTCATCTTCCTTCAAATATAGTAACAGGGAGAGGGGCCACGAATATACGTACCTATCGAACGAAATGATATTCATTTCTGGGAATTCCACTCGAGAATGGAACCTATAGAGGAATAACACTTCTTTCCTTACATCTTTTCGACTTTCATTTTATCACTTCCTGACTATGACAATTTTGTATATAGATTTATCTTTACACGTTATTTTCAATTGAATCAAATGACAAACACAATGCTTGGTGAGTTTCCGAAAAATTCAATCAATTTGCTGCAAACATATGAGCTTTTGTTTACTCATCGTTTATTACGACGAAATAATTATTTATTTCAAGCAATATATTATTGTCGGCACACAAGATAATTGTTTTTTTACTGTTGCAGCAGTAATTCTGGACAAATTGAAACATGTGTGGTCGAATAGAAAACATATATAAAATATACGTCTATACATGTGGAAACATGGATAAATATACATACATATGTACTTCTAGTTTATAACCACTCACCCGTTTCATTTTATTCTCTATATGTTCAACCCTTCATAAAATTAAATAGTCTCGCAGTACAAAATAAATAAAAAATAATAATAATATAGAAATATTTTTATGATACCATGACAATTAACTCTTTAGCGATCGATTTTTCAAAAGGTTTGATCCAATAAATTATGTCAGGAAATTAGATGTGTAAAAATAACGCATTGAATTTTTTATAATACTAAAATTATAGCCGACAATTTTTGTACTTTTTCAACAATTAAATTGCAAGTAAAAAATTCGAGTTTGATTTGAAGTAAAAA